GCAAATATTCAAGCATGCTGGAAAGACCTTTCGAGATTATGAACATAGCTGTAAAGGAAATAAAAGAATGAGAGAGAGAAGAGTGTGCCATCTGAAATGGATAGGCAGGGCAGGTCTCTCTGAGGAGGTGACATTTGCACTTAGGCATGAAGGACAAGAGACAACCACCCTATACGAAGTTAACAAATAGTACTGCAAGCAGAGGAAAGAGCAAATCCAAAGGCCCGGGGACAGGAAAGAACTTGCCATCTACAAAAAGCCTTCAACACTCTATGAGACAAGCATGAAGAGAGAGACTGCCTGATTGCATGCAAGGTTACGACTTTAGGTCTTGGCACATCCCATAGAGTGAGCATAACATTCTTACTCAGAGGGCCTAAGGACTCTATCTTTGATACAGAAACCCCCTTAGATGCAGTGCTGGGTCCAGACAGACGTTATCCTGATCTAAGGGCAGGGTCTCAGCGGAAGAGTCTTCCAGGCTGGCCAGGCTGGGGTGCCCTGCTTCCTGGGAAGTACCAAGCCACGGATAGTTAGGAACACTAGAAAGCCTCTTCTCGTGTGTGCCCAGCAATGAGAGAAGAGATGAGATTGTTGCTTTTTCATCTCTCTCTCTCGGATTCTTAAAATTAATTCCACCAACACAATTCCCACACCTCACATGTGGGTTTGGGGAGAAGGAATTAAGACTTTGAAACTGAGAAAGAAAGAAGAGGAAGTGTTCTCTAGACCAGGGCTCCTACACAAATGTTGCAGTCTGTGGAAAACAGTAAAGAGGTGCTGGGGAACCATTTTAGAGAGAAAAGAAGAACCAGGAGTAGAGGTGGCCACCCCAACTCAGGAAAAAAAACATAAATAAAATAATAAGAGGTAGTGTTAAAGCTTTGAAAGGAATTTTTTCATTTGAGCGAGATTATGAATAATGAAATGCAAACACTGTAGTTAATATGTCTGTTCGCTGGTTTATGTTGCCCCCCGGAAAATGAGTAATATGCTATAAGGGTAGCTTTTTCAAGTGATCCCACTTGACTACCCATGGGGTGAGCTCTGAATCTGTACCCCAGATTCCTTTGCCAAACAAACACTGGAGTTTCGAGGCTAGTGGCACAGCTGTATGTATTCCAAGGCCACAAACTTCCTAAGCCTCTGCCGAGCCCTTCACAAATGAACCTGACAACATTGAAATTCCTAAGGAGATTTACTCCAGCTGTAGCAAATCCTTAATAATAAAAAATTTCCCCAAATGAGTCAGTCACACGGGAGGTAAATGAGACATTCTCTCCGAAGTCAGCATGCCACTTGGAGTGTGCCCTTTGTATAAAGCTCAGCCAGACAGCCAGGCAGTTAAGCAGGGCTGTCCACAGGGCGCAACCAGGACCCTGGAGGGAGAGAAAGTTCAGTCACCAAATTGTAGCTCTGGGTCGCTTCTCCCTCTAGCAAACCTGATAGGCAAATGCAGATTTTCTTAGAAGTTCAGGAAGGGCTGATTGTTTGCTTCACAAAAGGAATCACCAGAGAAGTCCCCTTCACTAACAAGCCAGAGAGAGAATTTATAATAGGATTGAATTAGAGGAACGTTTTTTCAAAACTGCATCCCTTTCCCTATCCATGTACGAAGCTATGGAAGGTTGCATTTGTTGCTGGCCACATTATAAAAAAAGGATTGGGCCAGTCTGTCCATTGAGCAAATCGAGGCAAGCTTTTGGGCGTGGTGTTTGTGAGTAGCCCTGCTTCTGTTAATCCCCTAAGTGACTCCGCAGGCAAATAGGCAGCCTGACAAACCCTCCCACCTCTTTCTGAGGAACAAGAATGGCAGGTCCTTTCTTTGTCCTTTCCAGAGAAATCGGCAACAAGACTAGTTTGGTTTTTAAAGATTTATTTATTGAGTGCAGACCAGGTCCCCAGCACTATTCTAGCTATAGTGACACACCATATCTCAGTTGGTCCTCACTCCAGTTCTGAAACTGGGATGGTGACGGTGATGGTGACGGTGATGGTGATGGATTTCCCTCCTCACCTGCTACATCTTAACTTATTTTTCTCAGCTTTTCTAATTTGGAAAAAAAACTTAATGGAAGCACTTTATTTTTATAAATTTTAGGGTTATTAAAGAAATGTGGGCTTATAATAAACAATTTAGATAATAAAAGGAACAAAGAAGAAAGTAAAATTATTCTACCACCCATGTATTTCACCACCATTAATATTTTAGTACATAGTTTTTCAGATGTGTTCTGTATATTTATGCAAGGAAATATTGGCATATATTTTAAAGATGCTTTTAAAAATTTTGTCTTTTGTGATGAACATTTGCCCATTAAAAAACAAAAAATCTAGACCTGCAGCACTATTTACAAGAGCAGCAGACTAGTTCATCTTATAAATATACCAAAATTGATTTACTCACTCTCGATGGTTAGATTTTTCGACATGATGCTATTTATAATTAGAGTGTCTTCTCACTTTTCATATGCTTTTTTAAAAACAGGCACAAAGATGCATATACATCTTTTCGTAATTGTCTGATTATCTGCTTAGGAAAATGTTCTTGAAGAAGAACTTCTGGATTAAAGGCTCTGTACAAATTAACTTTTGTCACATTTTGCCAAAAATACCTTCCAAAGTGTTTGAACAGATTTACGTCCTCACTTACACTACATTTGCTTTCTCTCTCCTAGGGCAAGTTACTTCTACTCTAGGCGCCAGCTTCCTTGCCTGTGACAGGGGTGTGTGAATACAACAAACCCAAACCACACTTGACTTTCTTGCACACACACCTCCCACCAAGCAATGTAGTAACCATTTATAAAGATTAGATTCCATCATGTAAATCTCACAAGAATTTTAGGAGAAATGTCCAAGGCTCAGAAAAGTTCAGTGACTTGCCTGACGGCACCCAGCCAAAAAAGTGGTCAAACTAGAATCCAAACCCAGCTCTGTTTCCTGACCTGGGACTCTTGGGTCTAGGGTACCCCTCAGTCTCCCACACACCCCCCCACTGCATTCTCTCCTTCTGGTAAGCCATGCAGGGGAATAGGGAATGACTCTGGGTGGCAGGACTTCTCCACTTGTGTGCACATGGCTGTGCCACCACCATTGCTCACCTGATTGTGACTTGGCAGCGCTTACCTCATGGTGGAAACAGCAAAGAGGGGTTTTCCAGAAGGTCTGGGGAGTTTCCCCTGAGAACAGACTAAGTGTCTTTTTCACTTCTGTTTTGGAAGTGAAGAAGCCTGTTTTCAAAGTCATCACCATCTTCCATACTGAAATCCCAAACCTAAGCCAATAACCTGCCCTGGGGCATTCTTCATCTGCCCCTCTCTCCAGAGCCACTGGGAAGCCTCTTTCTCCCTATCTCCACCTCTCCAGACTGAGTCTGCTTCAGCTGTTCCTTTGGCTGCTGAAGCCCAGCCCTCCAGGGTCTCAAAGTGAAGTACTTCTAGTCTACTCCTTAGCCTTTCTTCACAGGCCTATTTATTTGGAAGTGGCTGAGCAATCTGAAATATGGTTCCCAGGGGCTCAAGCCAGGCCTCAGACCTCTCCAGCTAACGCCAGGCACTTCTGCAGGCAGCCAGCTTCCACAGGCCTGTGTGTGTGACAGGAGCCAGTGGGCACATCCCAGGGAGGGCCACATTGCCGAATCACCCTCTCTTTACCTGCAAGGAAGAGATTTCTTGTGTGTTGTTTAAACAGAGAGAGAGGCAGGGAGGGAGGGAGAGGGAGATGGATGGTTTTTAGCAAATAATAGTACAGTGACCAGCAGTTTGAAGGGAACTGGTGGAAGGAAGTTTGCCACTTTAGCAGTTGTGAAAGAAGTAGTAACCTGGAACCTAGAAAGGAACAGAGAGAGGACATGGTACAGATGGTCAGAGCTAGAGCCTCAGTTGAAAATGTGTGACTGTCAAGATGAGGTGGAGCTGTATGTGCTCACCAGCCCGTGAACTTGGCCAGGGATGTCTCTGAGGCATCTTCTTCTCTCACCAGGCCAGTTTAAGTCTGTGTGGTAAGAAACCCAGGCCTCTACTTGGGGAGGCAGCCCTCTCAGCCTCCTACTGAGGCTGATAGTTGTGTGTGCACAGACCCTGGTGGTCCCCAGGGATTCACCCCTGCTTGTGGAGAAAGGTTTTTATTGCCTTATCTGATCTAATGCTTATGTGTTGACTAAACTGCTGATTGTGAAGAGTCATCTCAAGGAGGGAGGAAATCCATAAGTAGAGACTCTTTGTCATCATCAATTTAAAAATAAGAGGGATGACCCAGGAGAAAATTGAAATGGGGTGGGGGGGACAGGAAAATAAATACTTCTGACCAGCTTGACTCACTCCTGTAATCCCAGCTATTCTAGAGGCAGAGATTGGGAGGATGGAAGTTGAAGGCCAACCTGGGCCAAAAGGCAGCAAGACCCCATGCCAACCAACAATGCAAGCCTGGTGGCTCACACTATAATACCAATTACACAAGAGGCATAGGTAGGAGGGTCTCATTCAGAGGTCAATCCTATGCAAAAATGTGAGACCCTAGCTGAAAAATAACTAAAATGCAAAAAAGGACTGGGGGCATGGCTCAAGTGGTAGAGCGCCTGCCTAGCAAGCACAAGTTTAAAACCCAGTACCACCCCCCCCAAAAAAAAAGAAAGAATAAAAATTACCGCTGACACATCCCCAGTGTGCCCGGCAAGATGTGTAGCCTCTTGCATCTACTCTTCTTATGCCATCTCCATCCCAACCTTCTGGAGTATTTTTCTCCTGTTCTTTCAAATGCTTAAGGGTTAAATATCTATTTTGCATGAGACAGAGCTAAGGAGGAGAGACTAAGTTTCAGAGAGATCATAATGAAAATAAAAAAGGGTGCTGCAGGGGGAAGAAAGCAGTATTTGTTTTGAGATCTTTGATAGAATAATGCTATTGCTTTTATATGAGCAAGAGATAAGGGCTCCCACCCATGCACTCACAAAGCAAATTCCTGCATCTGTCAGACCACACAAACAAACCCAGCATCCTTTGTTTATCACTCTGAAACACCTGAATGACTGACCTTTTCTCTTCTGTGCCCCTTTTGCCATCCCTACTCAGGTATGACTTCATCGAGATCAGGGATGGGGACAGCGAGTCTGCAGACCTCCTAGGCAAGCACTGTGGCAACATCGCCCCACCCACCATCATCTCCTCAGGCTCCATGCTCTACATCAAGTTCACCTCCGACTATGCCCGGCAAGGGGCAGGCTTCTCTCTGCGCTATGAGATCTTCAAGACAGGTAAGCATGGTCTGGGTTAGAGGTGGATGGAGGAGGTGAACATCTTAGAAAAGGTGAGACTCGGGAGGAGACATGCTAGTGGGTGGAGTCAGATGGTAAGGGCTGCGTCACCATGCCTGAGCATGGTGCTAGAGGAAGAGAGAGGTTCAAAGTCTACATGGAGACTCCCAAAGATGAAAAGCCAGGTTAGGCTGTCATTCAACTTAAGGGGCAGACCGAGCACCAGCAGAGTAGGAGGGCAGCTAATAAATGGAAAAAATGCTTTTTTGAAAGAATCTGATTTTTGTGTTTTTAAAATCAAACTAATCTTTATGAGGAAAACCAAAACTTGGTTAAACTTCTTCCCAATTACTTCATGGTTTGTTGTTGCCTTTATTTGGAACAATGTGGGGCTGGAGGACATAATCTTATTTTTAGAGTCTCCAATGATCTCACCATGATCCCCCAAAATGGGTTCAACCATAGCTTTGAAATTACTGTATGGCCCCTTGGTGGTCCACTTTACCACCGCAATGCATTGAGCCCCTACTTCCATATGCCAGTGAAGCAGACCTCTGAAAAGCCATCAAAAAGACAGCAGAGAACATTGCACTTCTTAATTCCTTTGGGTTCCCCTTAGATTCCTCTAGGCCCCAAGAATATGGGCCAGTGCTCATTTCCATGACTGGGTAAAGTGGACTCATCCACAGGACGCTGTTTCAGCATATACACACACACACTCTCCCAGCAGCTGTCCTCTCTGGGATGTGTGGTGCTGACTGTGTGGAGGCTGAGGAAGGCTGGTCCTCCAGTTCTCCCTCACCCTGCTCCATTCTCCACCACAGAGGCTTCTGTGACACTTTGAGTTTCTCTCCTCTTCAGCAGCCTAAGTTTTATAGCTCGTGGATGGAGTCTAGTTCAAGGGGAAACTGTCAGCCCTGTCATCAAGAGGCCCAAGACCGGCGCCTGTTGAGTTCAGTGTGAGGGGAACTATTCATATATATTTTCTTTTTCATTAAACAGTTCTTGAAAGGAAGTGGTAGCTGCTGAAAGCACTTTTTATATCCACTCTGTCTAAATATTTGTCCAATTTGTCTGCCTGGGATGGTGGAATCAAATGAAGGGGTGGGGTCAGCAAAACTGTGTTGTGCCAGTGTGGAAGCCCAAGCTGTCACAGGGTGCAGGGCCTAAGATGGTCCATCTGCCATGGTTTTTTATACTTCTGGTCACAATGAGGTCACAAGGACTGGTGGCCTTTGGGTCCAGGGCTCAAGGCTGGTGTGAAGCCACTGAATATCTTGATTCACATCCTTTTGAGTTCTGTGCAAAACGCAGGTCAATTTCACCAACTCTAGGAGCAGTGGGGAGAGAGAAGAGAGAAAAAATAAAGCAGGGTATTGTTCTCTGCTAGTGGGGGAGACAGGTGTGCAAACCCTCAGCACAGAGCAGATGCACTGTGAATGTTATATGTATGTTGAAAGGAAAACTGGACTGTGAGTAAGCACTAAGCAAAGGCACAATTACCATGCCATGGTTGTGAAAATAAGAGCAATCAAAGAGCTCTCTGGAGTCCATCAGATAGCACAGTCCTGAGGGCTAAAGTCATCACTCAACTCCACTGTCCTGACCATGAGGGGAAAACAGCCCAAGCAAGGTCTTCCCAGGAGTTGGCCGAAAGCATTCAGAGCAAGGGTGAGCAGGGCCGTAAAAGCATCAGCTCTGCTCTTGTGCCTCCCCACATGGTATTTCACAAGGCAGGATGCCACAGTCTCTAGAAAGCCACAGAAAAAGGCAATGTTAGCTCTATCCATCATGCAAATTTGAAAGGAGGATATTAAAAGATAAAACACACAAGAGGGTATCATAATTCAGTCCCGCTGTTTTGATGACATTCTGAAGTAGAATTCTGAATGAGGCAGCAAGTCTGTAAACAGTCTAGAGACACTGATGCCAGCTGAAGAAGGTAGGCGGCTTGGGCCTGGAGCAATGGGGCAGCCTGTTATCCAGACTGGGATTGTCTCTAGAAGAGATTGCTTCAGTGAGTGACAGCCCTGTCAACAGCCATGTTTCTGTGTGTGCAGAGGAAAATGAGGGCCCAGGAGTCTCCTCTGAGCCACTCGTACCTGCCATTGTGCCATCTAGAAGAGCAACTGTGGGCATGAAAGTGAGCCCTGTATAAAACACATGAATGTGCAAGGGAGCAAAATTAAAAACTGAGTTTAGGAAGGTGTACATTCTTCCAGGTGCCACATCTTATGCCCATATTTCTACGGTTGCAGTACCGAGAGAAAAAAACACAAAAGTTTACGTCATCCTCAGAACATGAAAGAAATGGGTGGACATGTTGAAGAAATCCAAACAAACACAGCTATGTTTGCTAGTCAGATTCATAAGAAGAAAGAAGGAGGAAACTGTAAACACAGATACGCAAACAGCCATACAGAGCCTTCTGGAAGCCTTTCTTTTCCCAGGCTCTGCTGCAGAATTACACTGAGAGACATAAGCCCACCATGTGGGGACACACAGTGGGAATGTGGCTGGAGTGGAAGGGTCGTGTCTGCCCTAAGTGAGGTATAAGAGTCTATATTCCCAGATCATCCACCAAGAAAAGGGTAAGCCAAAGCAACCCGCCAACTTAAAAGATCTCAAATCACCAAATCCTGAGCAAAATAGAAAAAGGATTCTTTAAATAACTTGAAAAGTAACACTCCAAACAAAATCACTGCAAAATGTGTTGTGAGTTTTCTTTTTTTCTGATGCTGCTTTGACCAAAACTCAAGATCAGATTTTCTCTCCTGGTAACCACTAGTATTACTGAAAGTGAAATTTTGGGGGTCATTCATAGAGGAAACCTGAAGTGTCCACTACCTCAACCCCTGAATTAAGGATCTACCTGAGTTCACCATCTGTGGTCAAGCCAAACTCAACTTTGGATAAATCAACTGTGTTTTAGTATCTTTATATGTATAGATTTTTCTTCCACTAGCAGTTATAAAGTGTACATTAGGAAAACACAGAGTGAGCATTTTGTAGGCCCGAGTTCTTTGTTATGAAATCACTCACTGAAACCCAAATCCTCAGCTTCTGTGGACAGTCTTAGCACTGAGAGGACCTGAATATTTGTTGACTGAGTTTTTTGTTTTTTTTTTAACTTTTATCATTTTAACACATCACAGAAAAAGATCTTGGATTAGTCAGACTTTTGCATGATTCAACTTTCATCTCCTTTTCTGGAATATTTTTTCGACATTGGATATTCAGTTCCCTTTCTGATGCTTTGACCACAGTGCAATTAGAGAAAGTGTCTGGTTTTAATAGACATTTTGATTTTACGCATAAAAAGAGATAAAACTGGATAGAAGTGTTCCTGCCTCATTCACAATAAGCCAGAGAATATATCCATTTTTAGCCATATATCAGACATGCACAATTTTTTGGGGGGTGGGGGAGAGGGTTAAATACCTAGAGTTGAAAACTTCCTTCCAATCCAGCACAGACTTCAGGACTCTGGAAACTGTGGCTAGTTTAGAATATCACATTCTCCAGGCCTGACTTGGGCTTGCTAGATGTCCACTGTAAGCACTCATCGCTCACCAATGAGATTCTACCACAAATTCCCCACTCCCAGGGAGGTGAAAATTCCCCTTGCCTTCTAAGGGAATGACAATAGAACAAACTCTAGGAGGGAATGTCAGGATACCTTTCCTGGCTCTCAAGCCAGTTGTGAATAGAGTTAATTTCCACCCAACCCTGTGTGAGGATCCTGAAGTGACCAACATGAAAAATACTGCATAGCGGCCTTAAACTCTAACCTTTTCAGAATTCTTCTTGGCCTCCTGAAGACCTGCCAGCTGGCTTGACTTTGCCAAATTGCATCATCCAGACCCATTGCGGAGGCCCTCAGGAGTTTGAGGCCCAATGGTAAACAAAGCTGGGGGGAGGCTACCCCAGCTCACCCCTGCTGGCCTAGCTGCCGACTGGCAGCTCTGAGTCTGCTCTGCCTCTGAATGATGGAGTACAGAGCCTCCAAAGAACCCACAAAGGTTAGCTCTTGCTCATGTGTCCCCAGTCCCATGTAATCAAGGTGCAGTGCCAGAAGAAGGGAAAAAGGAGTGGGTAGATAGGTAGAGATATTGGAATTTCCTGTCCTACCTGAGCTGAAGAAAGTTGCAAGATTCCATCCCCCACTTATTTCCAAGTCAGGCATGTGCAGCTTTCCAGAAAGCCATCATCAATAAAGAGACTTGCAGAGGGGCCTGCTACAGGAGCTGCAGATAAAGACATCGCTGCAGGCTGAGATCAGTGTATTGACATCACGTAGTTATATTCCAGTGCAATCCCCAGAGATCACTTCCTGCCAGTAAACACCTGGTTTATTGAGTATTTCTGTATTTTTTAAATTTCTTTCATGCTTAGAGTGTCTATTATCCCCTCTTCATAAATCCTGCTTGCTTTTCTTATTTTAGACTCTGCACTTGGTGAATGAATTCAAATGTAATTGCTCGGCATTTATATCCACTGCTCTAACTTACACCAGGTCTTGCTCTATGTCCACCCATGGTTCTATCCTGGCAAATGGTGGCTGGGCTCCAGCCCAAAGAGGGCTCTTTGAATATGACTCCACCTAGAGGCATTAGGAGATGTGGCGGCTGTAATTCTCTTCCAGTTCCTGCTGCTGTCCAAGCCTGTACCAGGCTGCAAATGTGTGCCGCATTTAATCAGGCTGCTTCCATGTGTCCCCAGATAGCAGACACAGGAGCTTGGGAGAGAAACAAGGCCATCCCCACCACAAAGCAACCAGAAGCCTTCCAAATGTCAATACACTGCTGCATTTTTCCAAACTTGCTGCTGGAGCGGCCTTTAACATCCCAACGCCCCACTGTGATCCACCGGCTAAAAACGTCGATTGTTAATTGTCTGACCACTACAGAGCAGCTCGTTTTAATATAGTCATGACATGAATGAGACCCCAGCTCCCCTTTGCCCCTCCCCTGAGGCACCTTGGATCTTGGAGGGAGAAGGGGCACTTAGCTGCCTGCGGTACAATAGGGGCTAGTGTTGAGGTCAGCAATAAATAAGGGGTAACATTGTTTGCGCTGCTGGCAACCAGCAAGCCTTCCTTAAGGATTGAAATAACTTACATTTCTGGAGTGAGCAGCTGAGTGATTGAGAAAGAAGACTCTGTTCCTCTTTTTAAGAGAATTCTCTCTCTCTCTCTTTCTCTCTCTCTCTCTTTCACCCACACACACTTTTCTCCCACTTCCCCCTGCCCCCCTCATTCTTCAATGGCTACACTTACTCTAAGATACAGAGCAAGCCTGCTGTACTTCCCTAATTTCTGTGCTAACGAAGAGCTGCCTTGAGGGTTTGAAATGTGGATAGGAAGACTATGTTGCTCCAAAGGCCACTGGAATAGAAACAAAAACCTCGTGAGTGAGGGATTTGGGCCCAAATATTTAAATAACCCATGCAGAAGAGGCAGCAAAGAAAGCCTTCTTCTTCTTATTGCTACAGTTTTCTTTGACACGCAGGCTCTGAAGATTGCTCAAAAAATTTTACCAGCCCCAATGGGACCATTGAATCCCCTGGGTTTCCCGAGAAGTACCCACACAACTTGGACTGCACCTTTACCATCCTGGCCAAACCCAAGACGGAGATCATCTTGCAGTTCCTGACCTTTGACCTGGAACATGACCCTTTGCAGGTGGGAGAGGGAGACTGCAAATATGATTGGCTGGACATCTGGGATGGCATTCCACATGGTGAGTGATGTCACTGTCATGAGGCACTTCTCAGTCACTTGGCTTTTGTCTGTGAATTGCTTTAGTAATGAGAAAAAGGGAGAACAAAGACTTCAGAGCTCCTGAGAGCTCTTATGACACCCGTAACGACTTTTCTTTCTTCTCCTTCACCAAGAATGGTTTTTAGAGAAATTACAGAAAGGTAGTCTACTTTCTTGGAGATATTTTCTTTGGTGGATGATAGGAGACTGAGTAGATACTTGAGACAGAAGAGATGACAAAACTATTGGTGATGTTCTTTTCCACACCAAATTGTCAGTATAGAAATCAACATCCTGCAACCAAACAGAAGGCCTTAGAAATAGAATGACAGAGCTCAAATACTGGCTCTGCCGTGCAACCTTGGCAAGTCACTTAATCTTTCTGTGTCTTTGCTATATAATGATACTATCGTCATCATTATTACTATAATTTTACTTTTATTAGTATAGTCATAGATGTTGAAAAGGTGCATCACTCAAAGCCAAGAGAAACCTACACCTCAGGAGAAGACCAACACAGATCTTGGGTGTAGTCAGTATTGCAAAGGAACAAATCTCTCACTTTTGTAGCTACTCTAAGTATTTTCCAATATAAGGGAGATTTGATGGCTAAGCAAAAGCAATTTCATCTCCTGGGAAAAACATAAGATTTAGTCAGGAAACTGGAGTTTGGGTCCCAGCTCTGCTATTTCCCAGTGGTATGAGCAAGGAGACATTACATGACCTGTCTGAAACTCAATTTCTTCCTCTGTAGAGCAGGTATTGTAATGATATCTTTCTGGCTCATCTCCCAGGACTGGAAGAACAAAACAAAGCAAGCTCAGTGAAAATACTTTTTAATGTGCAGGAAAAATATTCAGCATTGTTCTGAAAGTGCATCTTTGGTTTTTATGTCAAGGAATACACAGTGATGCTTGAATGAATGCTGTACAGTGGTGGGATAGGAGAATGTATTGAAAACCAAGTTTGATACTTCCATGTCCTCTGACCTTTCTTTATCTTGTGTGTCCAGTTGGGCCCCTGATTGGCAAATACTGTGGGACCAAAACACCCTCTGAACTCCGCTCGTCAACAGGGATCCTCTCCCTGACCTTTCACACGGACATGGCAGTGGCCAAGGATGGCTTCTCTGCACGTTACTACCTGGTCCATCAAGAGCCACTGGAGAGTGAGTTACCATTTGAGAACCTCTGCTTTGTCTTCCCATCTGAGCTGTGAGTGAGTTCAGGAAAAGGGCTGGCATCATGGTGGCATCTGAGTTCGATGACGGGAGCCACATCCTCTTGCCAGGTGGAAATTAATGAGAAAAGAATCAGTATCCATATAGGTGTTCATTTCTTTAAAAAAAACAGTATGTCCCAAGAATCTCTTCTTCCCAGGGAATGTCTGGGACCACTCAAGATTCCATCTATGAGTGGAAGATCTAAGATTTTTGAGTCTGGGACCATTTTCTTCTCTCTCCTTTGTCACAAAACTGAGCCATTGTAAACCTCTCTATATTTTTTATATGCATTTTGACATCAAGCCTCTCTGGCCCTGGGTAAGACTTCTCTGGCTAAACAATACAACTGATTGGATGTTTACTTCACACTTCTAAGAAATACAGATTTTGGAGCTTTTACCATGTGTCAGACACTCTGGTCCCAGCAGTCATGGAACGTGCAGTCCAGATCACCAGTCTCTGGCTCTCAGCTCCATCTTCAAATCAGCTACTGTTGCCCATATGCTTTAGATGTGCTGCCATGTCTACTTAGAAACTCAGATGATCTCTTTAAAGAAAAAAGAAGCACTTCAAGGATGATGAAAGCTGAGGAAATCCTGCCACAGTTGTAGACAGCTCCCCACCTCTATCACTGTAGACACGGCAGCCTGGCCTGCTGGAAAGTCACTGGGTTCTGCTCTGCGTTTTGCCTTTGTTTTTCATCAGAGAGTTCATGAAGATTACATAACCAAGAAACAGTATGGCAATCTGTAGCAGGTTCTGCAAATGGCCAGTGCAGTCCCAGAGCTAAAGAACAGATCTGATAGCTGAAAAACATTGCTTATCAAATACATGTGTATGCAAATATTGATCCGTACCCCCAGCATTCATGGGAAGGACAGCAATTTAAGTGATGGCACAAGGCCAAAGTAAGTGACTTCTGGGTCTATTTGCCCAGACAGGTTGTGTAGGGAGTATAGTGTGACACACATGTGCTCCAAGAGAGGTCTCCCAAAGGCAAGTATTTATACTTTAGAATGTCTGTCTTCTGTGCCAGAATGCATGACACAGTTGGGTGAAAGAGAGAGAGATGCAAACATGCCTCCTGGGTATGTATTAATAAAGTAGGCTTCCCATGATGGATCAGCCCACCCAAATTGCCTCAACTCTAACTCATGTTCACCTGTATTGCAGTACCAGTGTGTCTGGCATCTGAGAGCATCCGTGGCCTGCAGCAACTCTTGTGTTTTAGATAGTATTTTTAATTTGTATGATGATTCTTATTTATCCATCGTCCAATTCCTTTTAGATCCAATTTAGTTTCTTTCAGACCTAGAGTGGTTGTCAAGCTCTGTGACTTGGCACAGTTGTTTTTAAAATGTGAGTGTGTAATTAGAGTCTTTAGGATGGGGCATGCCTGCTAGAACTTGTCCCTAAAAGTGAACAGTATTTGGGGGTCTCAGGGCTTGAGGTTGAGATGCCTAACTCTGCCCTTGGCTGTCTCCACTCCCTAGACTTTCAGTGCAATGTCCCTCTGGGAATGGAGTCTGGCCGGATTGCTAATGAACAGATCAGTGCCTCATCTACCTACTCGGATGGAAGGTGGACCCCTCAACAAAGCCGGCTCCATGGTGATGACAATGGCTGGACCCCAAACTTGGACTCCAACAAGGAGTATCTCCAGGTACTTAATCAGACACCGAGGGTTGGGGGGGTACAGAGTATGTGTGTTGATTGGGGCAGTGGCCGGGCGCCTCAGCTAAAGTGAACAAAAGATACAAAGAAAATAAACACAGCATAGGTGAGAATTCCATTTGGTCATTCATTCATTTATCCCAACAAACATATATACCAGGCACAGAAAGATTGTGGCAGGCACTGTGCTGTGTGCTGGGATAAACTGATGAGTAAGAGGGACCCTGTCCTTGCCCTTGTGGAGATTAATGGGCTTGGGAGAAGTTGTTTGGCCAAGATGCTGTTTGCCCTATCAGTATCCAAGGAACGTTCTATAAATAATTCCAGATCTTCCTCATTCTTGGCACAGGGGGGCATCAGAGATGTGGGGGGAGGGTTTTGCTAAGGGCAGGTTTGTTGGGTGCTAGCTGAATATGGCAACTTCTCCTGATCTTTGGAGCGAACTCTGCCAGGAAGGTTTTGCACATAGCTATCAGAGGAACACATGGGAAAATGTCACCACGGGAATGAAACTCAAGTTGCCCAGATGCTCAGCAGCGTCTTTTCAGACTATTGTTTGCTTTCTTCCTGAACAAGTCTTGCAGCTCATGTGGAGTAATCTTCCCACACTGCAGACTGGTCCAGTTCTCATCCCCTGGGAAGAAGGAAACAGGGGAAGAGCAAACTGCTAGTTCAATACCAGAGCAGCGTCTTCTTTTATGACATACACAGACAGCCTTATGACCCAGTGACAAGCCTGTCCTAGCTCTGATATGAAACGGTGACCTTTGCTCTAAGAGGGACACCACAGAGCAGTCAGCAGGAAAGGGAGAGAGACCACTTAGAAACTCCAGGGATCCCACAGAGGCTCTAACAGCACAACCTAAGGCCATTTGTCACTGTCTCTCCTCTCTGCCTCTCCAAAATCCTTTCATCTTGCAAAATTTCCAGAAAGTTCTCCTTTGTAATTGGCAGTCCATTGATTATGCTCCTTATTTTTGGTCCTTAATCATATGCTTTTTATTATTACTCTCCACCTGTTCTACACGTAGACTGTTTCGTAATGCTGTGTACATATTAAGTAGCTTATAACTGCTTGCTAAATTGACTTTTATCAGAAGGCCCAGGCTAAATTTTAGTCACATTAAGAAACACCATGGCCAGCAAAGGAATATCATCCAGCAATTTCCAAATGGGTTTGGCATTGTGAGAGGGGAGGTACCCAAAATGTTGCCCATACTCCTCATGGATCAAAAGGTCAGAACTTGGTGCATAAGCCTAATTGCTTGGGCAGACTCTGTGAGCCCTTTGGCCTCTCTATGACCTGAGCAAGTAAAGACACAATAGAGTGAAGGAGGGGAAGGAAGAGAGATAGCTATGAGCTGTGACTTTGCAAGTGAGTTGGATTGAAGTGGAATGGATTGGAGTAGAGTGGATTCAGCTACTCATTGCTCTTTTAACATGGGACCTGCTTTCCCAGTCTAAGGCAGACCATGGTTTAATAAGGAAGGGCCATAATTCTAGTTGTCCAGTAGTTAGTATAAACTGAATATTGTTAATTCACATTTTCTAAAAAGAAATAAAAAATAATCAAGTTCCATCTTCAAGGTGTCTGATCTGGTGTCAAATAAATTGAGTTTAATTGTCTGATAGAACTGCAAAATGATACCAATTACTAATATGTCTCATGAATCACAGACCCAGACTGTGAGCTAAGTATGATAATTGTGTCCTTTCAGAAAAAGCCAGATGGTGATGGGAGTGGCATTGGGTGGGATAGTCCCCTTACTCTTTGTCCTCTCCTTCCCAGGTGGACCTTCGCTTCCTAACCATGCTCACAGCCATTGCAACCCAGGGAGCAATTTCCAGGGAAACCCAGAATGGTTACTATGTCAAATCCTACAAGCTGGAGGTCAGCACTAATGGTGAAGACTGGATGGTGTACCGACATGGCAAGAACCACAAGGTAAATCCAGTCTCCTACCTCAAAGGCACGCAAAAGGGTACATCGGGGGCTTTAAGCCCACCTCACCCAGAGGAGAGGACCTTGTTTAGTGAGGCTCAAATTATTGTTGGAGGCAAGGGACATGCTGGCTCTGAAAATCTCCTTTCTTATGCTAAAGTGATTGGAAAACACCATTTCTCTGACATCCTGGCTGCTGTTGCATCTTGCACAGGAAAGAGAGAAGAGTGCTAGAAAGAGCTTGCAGAGCACTCTCTGACTGCAAATGAAGGAGAAAATGCATTCCCCATCAGCGTCTCCCCACACAGGGATTCATTGAGCATTTATGGCCTGAGTCCCTTCCACATGCTGGGTTAACAATCACAAAACCACATGAAACTGCAATTCAGGAGTTACCAAGGTCGGAAAATGAAAGGGCACAAATCCTGAGAGGGAATCACAATGTCTCAGAGAAGAAAGAGGACAATAAATAATGAGGAGAAATTCCATTTGTCAGGGATGGGATCAGAACTGGCAATCATGCTTAGCAGAGCGGCATTGAATTCTCTCCGCTGGTGCCTTCAGCACGTGTGGCTCCCAGAAGCATGGTCTGTGTGGGTGATGTGGGGTTTCTGCTGTTCATAGGGATGAGTATCTGGCACATAGCATCCTTAAAACACTTGGTGTCTGAGTCTGCAGGTGCCTAAGTGCTGATTGTACTGCCCATTCCACATATGGAGGGCTTCTTGAAAACATCGGTGTCTTACCTGGTTTGGGACCAGGGGACCCTACAGACTGTGACTGACTCACAGGTCAGGAAGGCGAGTGTGATGGCCTGGGTATCGCCAGAGCCTTCTCATCCTTCCCAGGAAGGCAATGGGGAGCAAGGAAGTAGGTCTGTCTTTCACCTTTAGTGCTACAGTTCCACCAGGCCCTGGTCTGTTGAGTTGTGACTGATCAAAATAAGGCCCAAGAGCCTTTCCAAAAGGGAATCTCCTTAGCTCTTGTTTCTGTCCCAAGGCAGCTTGCTCAACAACTGCAGGTACAACTGGAAGCTTTGAATACAGAAAATCTTGCCCTATAACGTTGGCAGTCTCACTCAGAAGTGTGAGTTTTTAAAGTAGTATACTTTTTAAAAAATTAAAATCACCATGGTAACATGGCACCATTCATGTGAAAATTACGGTTCCTAGATATTACCAGGTGTCACACATACACACACACACACACACACACACACACACACAATTTTTCTCGTTTCTCCTGTCATGGAGGTGGGGTACTTAGCAATGGAAAGGCACCCCCACTTTGAAGTGTGAGCCAGGTGTGGCTTCCCATTGACTTGGTTTCAGAAAAAGTTGCCAGTTGCTAGTCTACCAATTCAATGGTAGCTGAATTGGCATGGAAGTCCCGGAAATCCCAGGGCTGAGTCCTCATCCCACCCACGTCTCTACTCAGGCCTCTCTTCACCCACCTTTTTTATAAGAAACTGGTAGAACCCAGAATCTCAGCCAGCAAGTGAAGGCTAGTAGCAGGGTAGGGGTGGGTCTTGAGGGAGAAGGAGGCTCACCTGACTGTATCCCTGTTCAGGCTCAATGACTAAGCAGAGCTGGCCAGGGGATACTGTAGCATAAGCTGATTTTAAAAGCACACAGATGGACGGGGATGCTATTTAAAACACCATTTGTAGGAAATCTGCTTTTGGAAATACCTTAGCACTGCACATTTTGATAGAATGCTGTCCTTCTGGCTTTATCCCTGCTATTCATTCTACAGGGAAGATGCTTTCTGGTCTTCAGAATCATCCTGCTCAACTTTTTCATATTGAATACATTCTCTCTTTTGCCTTCTCTTCCCACCCCTTGGCTAAATTTCTTTCCCCAGTAGCTAATGGGGGTTTTTGTTTTAGAAAATCTGTTTTGCCCACATACAGGGAGCTGGGATAAAGGAGAAGTCCTCTTAGTAGGCAGGAAAATAGAAAGTCTACCAATTAAGCACTGCCCAGTTCCCTCTCCCCCCTGCGCATGCAGCGGGCATCCAGCAGGCCTTCCCATCCTCCCCTATAAGGGTGCCCTCTGTCACCCGTTTATCAGCAGGTCTCCCCCAGATTTCTGTGTTCTAGTGTGCAGATTCCACACTGCTCAGGGTGCATCCATGCAGCTCTCAGGGCTACTGGAGTTGAAATAGTTGAGTGAACCGTGCCAAATAGATTTGTCAAGTCTGCTGTAGTTTGATTCGATGTCATGAGGGAGAGGCAGGCTGGGGAGGGGATTGGGAACAGTGTGTGTGTTGGTGGGGGCGGTCATCCATGCTGGTACTACCACTGAGTTTCTGTTTATGGCCTCTGGTTGCTGGGCACTGTGCCAAGCTAGCTGGTGCTAAGTGGTGGGCTTAAAAGTGAAATTCAGACAGTAGGACAGAAGGAAGAAAGCAGAGCAGAGAGGGAGGCAGCAGCTTGCTGGCTCTGGGGTGCAGGGGAGGGTTTGTGAACGCCTTCCCAGCCCTCAGGGAGTGAAGGGGGGATTGTGATGTTTGGGGCAGAAATTTGGACACGCAATTTCAATTCCCTGGTTACTGTCAACACCAGTGCACTGTATCAAAGAACAGGGAACTGGGGAAATGGGAGAAAAACAAGATTAATGAGCAGTCAAGGTGGTGGGGGCGTTCTATGTCCTTACAAAACATTCACGGCAATTTGGATCCAGACTGGGCAAAGCAAGGTCTAAGCCTATATGGGTGAATGACATTCTTCTTCCTGCTGGAAGGTGAGGATGATGAAGGAACTCTTCTCCAGCCTCCCCAGCCAGTGAGCAGCCTCTTTTTAATCTCTTTCCTCACAACAGATATTGGTGAGGTTGCCTGTGAGAAACCTGGTCACACTGTTGCTGGGGGATTTCAAACATCTTTCTGGCAAAATGTGGCCTGGTTATGCAGACCAGATGTGCAGCCCATCCCCAAATCTTCATCCAGTTGCACATGCCATAAATATGGAACCTATGATTTTCATATAGGGCGGGCCCTTCTTATACATATTTATGGCGTAACCACAAGGCAGAGAGCTGGCCTGCCTGATGGAACCCATATCCAACCCACGTGCTCTCTTAGATTGTACAAATTGCTTCACATACATTTTTTCAGAAACCACAGCAGAAACTACTGCTTTTGGTTTCACCAGATGTATGAGTAACATCCCAGATATAGGCATAGTATTGTCAATATAATGGTAGAAGGCTCATGTCTTTGTGTGTAATTACAGGCACATGTACCAAGAAAGGTACATGAAAAACAATAGGAAGAGCTCAAAGGCACAAGGCCTTCTTGCCCTCCTCTGAGATTCTGATCTCATGAATCTGTACTGGAGGAAGAATCTGTGCCTGAGGAATGAAGCTATGGCTGATGTTCAGAACAATAGGACAGAGGCCTTTGCCCTTCCACATCTAAGCAAAAGCCCTTGTCTTCAGTTTTCCTTTATTTGATAAACATGGGTAGCTCCCTTGTTGACAGAGCTCTGGTTACCTTTCTCTTAGTCACGGTATTGTTGAGCTGTTCTCATCTATTTGGGGAAAAATGGGGATAAAAGAGAGTCTATGGACCTTGATAGCCAGATAGAAGATAGAAAGATGAGGATGGGTAAGGCAAGTGTTAGGTCTACAAGTTTTCAGAGTTACTCCATAATAAATGTCAGGAATGTGCTAAGCTCTTTATATTAATGTAATAATGACCATCAACAAGGCTTGACAAACCCTTAGGCACTGACCTATTTGCTTCAGAATTTCACAGTGTTCCACCAACTGTGCAACTGCAGCTGTCCAAGACTAAACAACTTGCCTCAGGGTCAGGGAATCTTGGAATCTCCTGGAAAGACTCTTGGTCACCAGGCTCTGATTTCTAAGCTGCTACTCTCAAGGGTCTGCCCCAGGTCTTGCTCCTCATCTTGCATCCAGAGAGAAGTTGGCTTCCCGATTGTTCTCTATAAAGGTCTTGTGCCACTGGTTTTCCTGTAGCACTTGTAATGGAAGTCAGAAGGCATGTGCTTGGACAGCCTGACTTGGAACACAAGGCCAGCATGGTGGCGGGGTCTGGGCTCCATCACTGAATCATGAGGATGGAGAACTGAAAAGAAGTTGCTATTTGTTTGATTTGGCCACATCCCTTCAAAACAAACACCCTACTTCAAAAATCCTCTGGCCTATATTTATTTTCTAAATTCAAACAAATCATTTTTAAATCAGAGACTTGGAAGGAGAGAGTAATGTCAGAAAACCAAACCTCCAAATCAGCTGGCTAAGAGTTAGAAGCATGCGACATCTATTTCCAGATCTTCTGAGATGGTGTACCATGTGACCTTGGAATCTCTCTTGCCAGCTCCATGCCTCAATATTTCCATGCACCCGGGTGGCGTGGTACTGCCACTGCTGTACCTGGCGAGCTGTAGATGGAAAGCTCTCTGCAGATATGATCAATGGATTAGACCCACAAAGCTCTTCTAGAGCAGAAGCAAGTTGTCAATTTAGAAAGTAACAGGGCCCCCATGGGATATTTATCTGCCTCTTTTAAAATCATAGGCCTGGAAGGGACTGTGATAAGGCATCCAGACCTTTCCCATCTAATGGACCTGCACTTGAGCTGCCTCAGATAAGTGTCACCCACCCTAGGCTAATTCTTTTGTTAGGGATGCAATTATTCTTCCAATTAATAACTTGAGGATTTGCTTTGTTTTATTTTGTTTCTTTGTTTTTACCTACTGGTAGATGACTGACTTGCACTTACTCCTTTTGTGGTAGTCATTTTGTTTGTTTTATAAAGACAGTGACTCAAACTACACCCTGGTAAAGGGCATCAGCCTTCAGAAGCCATGATGCAATTGCATCGTTTAACCATGTCTATGTTTACTCTGAAGAAAACTGATGCCATATCCAAGTTCAACTCCCTGTTTATCTGCCCCCCTCCATTATAACTGAGAAGAATCCAGTGCCCTAGGTAATTAAGTTTTGCCTGTGTCATGGGATGAGCTCAGACCTTTA